TTCGAATTTGAATCATCTTATATGAATTCAAATCACGAATCGAGCATAAATTATTTGATTCGTTTACAACCCTACTTAAACCAATTGCTTGAATACGAGTAAAAAAGTATCGAAGTTTCAAAATAGGATCTTAATTTTCTATTCTCTAGATATGAGTAATTCTTGTCATACTTGACAAAAATTACTCCTATTTACAAAATAAAAATATGACAGACTTATTTTGTACTAGTAATTTCAAAACTTGTTTACTCATATTTAGAGAATTTTCACTTAAACCTATCTCAATGCAAGTAATTTGAACTGATATTGTTACTGAATGTTGGAAAATTAAATGTATTACAAATAAATTAATTATTTTGTAACCGATGTTTATGTAACCGCACATGTGGGTCTTGTAACGTGTATTTGAGATGCTGACTTAGTTTGCTCGGTTTAGCTTCTTCCTCTCCACTTTTGTAGGATCCACTAACCATCTTTTGATTTATCAATTCCTTTTCTATTTATTAATATATATACCGATAGTATATATTAATAATGAATATTGGCAGCATGATAAAAAAATACGCAGGAACATATACGAACTCTCCTGCATGAAACTTTTCCTTCTGCAAACATTATCTTGAGACAAGGCTTTCATTAAAATGATTCTTTTAAAAGCTTGTGCTAGATTAATCTTATGGTGATTTCCCTCGTAGTTCTGGTTCCGACTTATTGTTGAAGGGCTCGTTATATTCTGGGGGAGATTTCCGTTCACAGGAAATACTTTCAGAGGACAACGTTTACGCGTCTCGAGCCAAGTTGTTTTTTGTTATTCTTCTTTGCATGTATGTTTATTATGGACTGGCCGCATTACTGGAGTGGACAGAATACAACATTCCAGCAACTTCAGGTAAAGACAAATCAATGTGCACTTGGCTCGAGACGTGTAAACGTTGTCCTCTGAAAGTATTTCTGGTGAACGGAAATCTTCCCCCAGGATATAACGAGCCCTTCGACAATAAATCGGAACCAGAACTACGAGGGAAACCACCATAAGATTAATCCAGCACAAGCTTTTAAAAGAAATCATTTTAAGCAAAGCCTTGTCGATCTCCAAATAAAGTTTGCAGAGGGGAAAGTTTCAAGCAGAAGAGGAGGATGGCAGTGAAGAGTCTCCATGCCGCCGTGAATTGCAGAAGAAAAGAGAAGCTACTCGTCGGAGTAATACGTGTCCGTCGGCCGGAACAGGACTGCTAGGAGCAAGTGAAGAAGGAATATCCCCAACACTGAATGCACCCTAAAATGATTCAATATTGTCTCATTTTAAAACGAGATGGTACTATATCAAAATCATTTAATAAATTGCAAACATCTAATAAGTAGTATATAATAGAGATTAGTTTTAAATTAATATCAAAAGATTATGAGACAACAATAATGTAAAAAATAATTGTTTTAATCCTAACATTCAAATTGAAACATTAAATGCAAAATAATTAAATTTTTATAAGTCTATTTTCCAAATTTAAACAAAAAATATAGTAACTTATAATTTATTTATATTCTGGAATATAAATAAATTATAAGTTACTATATTTTTGATGCATAAATGTCGCTATTTTAGACGATACATTAGTGTCATAATTTGCTGACACAAAACCGTCCCCGCATCAGTGACACTTTATTTAGTGTCACTAGCCGACACTTTCCCCGACACTTTTTTAGTTTCGCAGAAAGATTCTGTGACACTAAATTAGTGTCACTATAGGCAGGGGTGGACCCACCCTAGGGCTAGGGGGTGCACGTGCCCCTGCGGTGATATATATATATATATATATATATATATATATATATATATATATATATATTGGAAAATTCTCAGGTCCAGCACCTCCCGATCCGAACGCCGTCCGAACACTGCCGTTTGGGACGGTTCCAGGTGGAATTTTTTGATGGAATTTTTTTGAGAATGTTCCTCATCAAGTCTAGTTTATCCATACCAAATTTCAGGTCAATATTCGACCGGGAAGGCAGTCAAATAATTCGTTGAAGTTAACTGTGTTTTTCTATGTATAATTTGGCGCATTTAACTTCAACGAATTATTTGACTGCCTCCCCGATCGAATTTTGAGCTTAAGTTTGGTATGGATAAACTATACTTGATGAGGAACATGCTCAAAAATTTTCATCAAAATATTCCGCCGGGAACCGCCCCAAACGCCGGTGTTCGGACGGCGTTCGGACAGAAAAGTGCTGGACAGAAAAGTTATGCCGATTGAGACTTATGATGTTAATATTAGAGATGAGTTGAGGAGACGTTATTTGAGAAAAGGTCCTTGCCAACCGCGTGACTTTAAATTTCCACAAAGTGATTTTAATGGGTGCAACAGATCATTCCAAAAACAATGGTTTTATTTAAATTTTATAGTTTTGTTTATTGCTATACTCGTGATGCATATGATTTTTTTCTAGACTAGTATATCATTTCTTTGTTATTGTGCCCCTGCGAGTCACGAGTCCTGGTTCCGCCACTGACTAGGCCATTTTTCTACTAGTGTCTAATTGTTAAAATTTATCTATCCCACTCCTTCTTTCTACTTGGGCTCCACTGGTTTCTTCTTATCACACTCCTCTACTCTCTTCTTCTTTTATATTTCTATTTTGCTTATTAATGCTGGTTGAATTATTTTAAAATATTCAATTTATTTTTCTCATTGATTGAATCATATGATGTCATCTTTGCTGATTTTATTGAACACTAATATCAAGATATTGCCAATTTCATGTCATTACGTTTATCAAGTTTCCAATTTTATTTTGAATATACATGTCGTAAGTGTCATGTTTTTTACGTCTATTAATGTCATTTTATACGAAAATGCCATGTTTTAACATTTGAAAATGACATTTTTTTATGCGAAAATATTTTAACATGGCGTTTTTGTCTTTTTTTAAATGTCACCATATATGTTTTAACATTTTGAAAATGCCCGACAGTGACGGTGACAATAACACATGACGGTGGTGTCTGTCTCATCGGAGGGAGGCGACAGAAGGCAGTGGTCTTGCCAGAGGGGGTGGCCGGAGGTGGTATCTCTATACCACCGCGACAACGCCATTAGAGGGAGTGATAGCCATGGAAGCGAGGCAGTCGCTAGACAATAGGTTTTTTATGTTTTCATTTATTTTCATCAAGGACAATTTTATAAAGTCAATGCACTTTTCATCCTACAAAACATGAAAATCTTACTTTTGCATTTTTCTGAGGTTTGAGTACTAGTTAGGCACTTAGGCAATTCACTCTTAAGTATCATAATATTTTTTGGAGTATATTTCAAATATAACTTTCATAATTCAACAGAATGAATCAAGTCAGACATTTCAGCCAGAACTTCATGTGGGCAATCTGAAAGTAAGGGACTAAATGTGGAATAAATGTGGTGAAGGGTGGTGAGGGGATAATGGTCACGGACTAAATGTGAGCAATCTGAAAGTAAGAGATTAAATGTGGAAGTGGTATAATAGTATGAGACCAAAAGTGGAATTTTTTTTATAAAAACCTATAATAAATAAGTGGTTTACCCAATCTAGGGGGTATACAATGTAAATTATGGAATTGGTATTTATTTACGGAATTCGTTTCTTATTTTTATTTACGGTTGAACTATAAGAAATTAAGTGCGATGAAAAGACGAAATATTTTCCATATCCAATGGGATGCAATTATATTGATCTTCTTGGTCTCTAAATGCATATATAAGCTGTCAAATTTTATTAAACTCTATTTTTCTAATGACTATAAGTTTCACACACAAAAACACTTCTATAAAATGAGATATAAAATGTTATATTACATCTAATAAATGCAACTACGTATATTGGGTTAACCACATGTGTTTAGTATATTTGACAATGTGGGATATTTGCAGTGTGATATATGTTGTGGCGTAATAAAAAATATTCAATGTTGGCCGATATAATTTTTTCTTATAACTTTTCAACATTGAAATATAGACATTTTTTAAATTTGAGATTGAGTCAGGATTTAATAAGGACCAAGATTAATTTGTTAAGTGACCAAACTCTAAATCATTAAGCTTCATTACTTAATGGACAACTAGCTATATATATAAATGATTCAAAATAATGCTTTTACCCAAGCATCTATCAAAATTGAGATTATTTCAAATGTTTTTAGTCATTCAATAGTTTATGTGAAATCCGTACGTATCTACTCACCTTATAATTATGAACTAGCAGATAAATTAAAAAAATATTTAAAATGAGAAATTGAATTGTGTGTTAAGTACTTATCTAGTCTTGTTGGCCGGGCAGATCGGAAGAGAGTAAACTAGTTTCACAATCTCCTAAAAAGGGCCTAATTGGACAAATTAAATAGAATTAAGGGAATTATTATATATAATTTAAACGATTCCGCCTCCAAGAACTTTAACCAAATAAAGGTAGGGGCTTTCCCTCATCTACTATATAAAAATGTTTAAAACCAAACATACCCTAAAGAAAGATTTTAGTTATTGTCATGTTCAGGTTATTGTAATTTATATAGAGTAGAAGAACTTGTAATAGTCATGCTTCTTTCTTTGGCTTTACTAGCCTAGCTAAGTAGGTTTTTTATTACTGTATTTTACAGTACTAATTTGACCAAGAACAGTGGCAAGAAGGAATGTTTTCTAAATGTGTGGGGAACATTTATATTGAACAATGCATTTCTTTATATCTATAGTAATTAATGCACTTTATTTGTATAATTATTTGAAATAATCAACACTTGTGCTAATGGTGAACTATGATAAGCAATGTTGATATAAATTGAAACTTATTAGTCGGTGGTGTACATAGAGATTCTTCAGAAAGAAATGTGGGTTTCTGATGTTCTTCCCAAATAAGAGTGAAGATGGATCATATGGTGGGCTGACAATCCTCCTCTACAAGTTCAAGAACCTCGCCATCATGCATTTTGTTAAGCACCCGGAGATTCCTAAGCTCTGCATAAGTGATGGGCACATACAACCGCCGCGGATCAGATTCAAGAAGCTCCGGTGGTGGCTCTACTGCCATCTCTTTGGGACCCAAAAGGAATGAAGCAATTGATAGCCTCATACTTGGTTCCTTGCACATCACCCTATGCCTCACATTGCAAAATCTCCCATTGCTCCAAATCTTGTAACCATTCAAACAAAACCCACAAAAATGTTACATTGAACCTTGACACATGAAAAACATTACTATATATGTTTATCCATCGTATCATTATCAACTCCGTTTAATTGGGTTGATGAGACGTGTTCAAATATTTGTCCTACATCAGATTAGTATGATAAGACTTTACACCGCTTCTTCTAATGTTTCCATATGGTATCAGAGCCGATTACGTTCCAAATAACGATAAGCTCGGGTTAGTTAACGTAGCAGAAAAAGTAGTATACTTACAGTGGCCATATCCCCGAAATTAAGCAGGAGGCTACCAGGCAAGGGATCAACTGCCACAATTTCTCCTGATCTCTTAATGACTTCTAGACCACCCACACTCTCATCATCTTGCAGTATTGTAAGGAATCCAGAGTCTGTATGTACTAGCACTCCGGATGAGCCCACACTCTCAGAGGTAAAGTGGTACTTGTTAATTCTGAACTGACAAGTCCATCCTTCAAAAAGTTCACCTTTCAAACCCAATGATTCTGCTAATTTTCGTCCAATCTCCATCATCAATTCATGCACGGATTTGGCATATTTCACTATGGTCTCTCTAACAAGAACATCAAACTTAATGAACAAGTTACAATAATGTATAATAAATATCTCAATTATAAGAAATTAGGAATAATGAGTATCTGAGTAGAAGAAAATAGATCCAAAAAGAGAAAGAAAAAAACCTTTGATGAGGTGAGGCATCCAAGTCATTACAGAAGGCTTCAACATCTTGGGGTGATGCCATATCATAGAGCCCAAGAGCTTCATAGAGAGGATCTCTCTTAGTTGGGGCAGTATAACCACTGCCAGGAAGAACATGCTTGTTTCTCTGTTTGATCTCCTCTGGAAGATCAAAGAGTGACTTCACCACTTGTTTCATGTCCAGCATGAGTGAAAGTGGCAGAATGTTGTGGTGGTTGACAAGCCTGAAACAACCCCACTCCTCACAAACCTCTATCAACTTCTTTGATTGTGCTGGGAAATCATGCAAGTCTATCACTGGCACCATATTCTCCTCTTTGTTGCTTGTTATTTGACCCATTTGACTCTTTCACTTTGTGGTGATATTTTTTTTTGCTGATTTTGAGAGCATGCACTTATTTATAGTCTTAATCCATGATCTACACATGGAATACCATTAAATATTTGAGAGCCTCTTCACTTGTTTTCTATTTTTGAAAAGAGCCCCCTAAATGTGTTGATGGTCATACTATGTTTGCTCATAAGCATAAAAGTTTCGAATTTTGAATCGTTGGATATCGATAGTGAATTATTTCATAGAATCTAAGAAAAAATCTAAAAAAGTTTAAGAAATATACGAAAACACGGAAATATTTTAAGAAGATACCGGATTAAATTGTAAAAATAAATTGAAATGCGATCAATTCAATCCATAAATAATACCTAATATATAACCAAAATAAAAATACAGTGTACAAATATGAGTTAATAAATATAGTGACTATAATTATGTTCAAATTTTCCATCATAGTGATTATAAAAGTGTACGTGCTCAAATTTTGTTTTGAATATATTTTATGAAAAACCTGATCAACCTAATTATGTTTTCCAAAACAAGTTAGTGAATTACTAGATATTAATTTTCTTCAGAAGAAGATTACTTGTAAAAACTATATGTGAGTTATGATTAAAAAGAAAACTATATATGAATTGAAGCATCTACCCATTGTTTAAGAATTTGATTTACATCGACTTTTATCCTTATAATTAACACCCTACAATAGGAAAAGGAATTAAAAAGGCAACCCGCACAGGTAGCTCAGTTGATCGAGTGGTGGGAAAATTGGACCAAGTGACCAAGGTTCGAAACCCGCAGCGGCCGTGTGGAGGTTACAGAACCTGAAATAAGGTTGGACCTCTGATGCGCACATGTATAAGACCTACCGCCGCTTTGCTGACTGAGTCATCGTGATTAACCTCCCCACCATCCTGTCGGGTCGGGGTGGGGGACCTTGGGGTTGGGCATTCAACCTTTTGGACCAAGAATTAAAACCGCATGGTTGTATCCCCCGCCCCGCGCCGTTAATTTTTTAAAATCCAGCTCATCATTTTAAAAGAGACATTGTTCGGATATAATTAGCTCAATTAAGCTTCACCTTCATAATATTGAGTGAACCAAGACGTAAAGAAGTCTAAGAATGTATTGAATAAAATTGAACTATGGTTCAGTCTTGATATGATGTGATTTGGTATGTTTAAATCTGATTTGATCTGGTCTGAACTGATCTAGTAGATGTGTGATCTATGTATACTCTGTATTTTATAATTGTCGAAGTTTGGTCTAATATTTGATCTTCTTTGACATGTTTAAGTCTGATATGGTTTGATGTAATCTGTTTAAATTTGTTAACAAGTGTGGCTTATTAAAAACATCTTAATCCTAGTGTTTTAAATCAGCCGGTCAAACCAGACTTGTATTCTTAATTTGTACACTGTTACTGATTTCTTCATTCATAGGTCACTTTGCCCTTATGTCCTGTTTGGATGAAGTGTTTGAAAGTGTTAGTAATGGACTTATTAAAAAGTGCCGCCTTAAATGAAGAAGATGAGATAAGAATTAAATTAAAGAGGTGATGAACTCAATGAAAGACTAGACGGTAGGGAAAAACATTTGCTGATGTACAGAAGCAAGATTTAACTGAAACTATATGATCAGGGATGGAATTAACTGAAACTAACTGAAACTATTTGGACTTTCAAAAATTTCTACAATATAGGTAATATTTTCCTAAAATTTTCATACTTTGATTAGATTCGCCCCCCTTAAGTCCTTAACTTTTAGTTTTCAAAATTGATGTATAGTCTTACATAATGTAATACTTACTTGAAGATTTAAAAGAAGAAACACCTAAGATAATTTACATAACTTAAATACCAGATAATAATAATATGCAGAATTTTTATACTACTTGGAGTAGCATTAATACAAATATAATATGCACTATATATATGAATTACCAATATAATATTATTCTAAAATTAACAATCTCATACATACTATTATAATATTTAGAAAAGTACTCGTGATTCATGAACACCCTCATTGGTAGACAAAAATTGTAATTTAAAATCCAGTTCTTTATTTTTATAAGATTCATGTATTTAAACAATGTAGAAGTTGTTTTAAAAGTATTGGTGAATGCGTTCCTTATAAACTCTTTATCTTCAAATAAAATGTTATATATCCTTTTTTATTTTCAAATTATTTTCATTTTATTTGTCATTTCTTACTATTTAATCTATCAATACTTTTTTTAGAGCTCCTCAATTATAAAATTAAAGATATAGATTTAAATGTCGTCGTGTATGTATTAATGAAATTTTAGAATAAAAATAACCACAGAGCCTTTCACTGGTGAAAAAATTCAGCCCGCTACACTAGCAAAAAAAAATCACCCTGACACACCAGTGAAAAAAATGACCCACTACTCTAACAAAATTTTTTGCCCCTTGATTCGAAATCCTGGATCCGTCAACGTACACACTTTAATATACTCGTAACCGACTATAAGCAAGACATATGTACTCTACCCCAATTTAAAAAGCCACGTATTAAATGAGAAGACCACTATTTTTTTGATAGGAGAAGACTACTCATTTTCATTTCTGACTTTCATGTTCACTGTATTCTCAAATACATGTACTGTAGACTTTAGAAGACATTTTTGGAAGTTTATTATATGGACTCCATTACGGAGTATTCAAACTTTTTATGAATCTTGTACAAACCATATTTGGGAATTTAGGGTCAATTTTACTTCCATTTGTGTAATTCTTGTTAATAAAAATTAGACTCGCTTTTCTCTATTAACTATTTTCAAAAAGAAAGATTACGGGTGTTTACTTTTCTTTATTAAACTGTGTATTAAGATGTCTTTTCAATCAATTTTTTAAATCAAATATGAAATATAATTATTTTAACAAAAGCATTTCTCATTGACAATATAATTTAAAAATAATATTAATATGACTATTTTTCTTCATTCTGACCGTTTATTCAAAACAAAAATTAAAGAATATTTTAAAAAATATTATTAAAATGAAACTTATTGACACAAATATGATTAATACAGCTACAATGTACTACAAATATAATCCTAATTCATGATCACATGGAATGCCATTAAATATTTGAGAGCCTTTTCACTTGTTTTTCAAAAACTAGACATGGAATCACATTAAATATTTGAGAGCCTCTTCAACTGTTTTCTATTTTTGAAAAGAGCCACCTAACTAACCATTCCAGCTCACCGGATGGGAGGTTACCGTGTCCTAGCGGAGGTCTCGGGTTTGAATCCCGCTAGGCACATTTAGGGGAGAGGAGGGAGGTCTTGCTCCCAATGATTCTCCCTACCTTCACGGAGTTGCACAGCGGCTTAGAAGGGAGCGGATGGAAATTCAGGTCGCGAGTTCATGTGGTGGGAGGACCCTTCTAGATACAGATGAAAGGAAGTCCTCCATAGTAGGAGGACCCTTCTGGATTCAGTTGAAAGGAAGTTCTGCTGGATTCGTCTTGTGGTACCAGTACCGACGAAGACTGACTGTGATAATATCCAGATTTGCTTGTCTAGAGGCTTTGGAGGGTAGTCAATAGACTCCATGATTAGAGGAGCGCAAGCACCGACAGCTGGACTGTAACGCTTGAGATTTAATTTAAATGAATTAATAGTACTACTCATACCAACAAGATGCATCTCCTTTTAAGGGAGCTCATCAGCAAGAACTTCAAAAGTTAAGCGTGCTTGCACGGGAGTAGTTTTGGGATGGGTGACCCACCCTGGGAAGTTTCTCAGGGCGCGCACGAGTGAAGACAAAGTGCACGGAAAAGGTTAGTGGCGGTTTGTGAGAACAGTACTAGAGGTCAGAAGTAACTACCTCGAAGCCTACGGTGCCGTGGTATTACAGGTGGTATCAGAGCAACCCTGCGACAGTGTGCCTATCCTTAGGATATCGGGCCTGCACTTAGCGGGGGGAAAGATTCCGGGATTTGATTGAGATTGGTTTATGAGCGCAACGAGGGACGTTGCGATCCTAAGTGGGGGTGATTGTAACACTTGAGATTCAATTTAAATGGATTAATAGTACTACTAATACCAACAAGATGCATCTCCGTTTAAGGGAGTTCACCACCAAGAACTTCAAAGTTAAGCGTGTTTTGCACGGGAGTAGTCTTGGGATGGGTGACCCCCTGGGAAGTTTCTCAAGGCACTCACGGATAAGGACAAAGGGGGTGTTACATGGACTATCAAAAAAAAATTGAAAAGAGCCACCTGAATCATTCAGTGCGAATCAATGTGAGGGCAAGGGTGGGCTTCAGCCCAGCCTTTTTTTTAAAGAATTTATCACAAATAGACTTAAAAGTTAAAAATATACTCCGGTATCACTATTTTACTTTCTTTTCAAAAATAGACTAGTGAAAAATACCTTTTCACAAATAGTCCAATCTCCGTAAAGCCAACTTACGAACTACTGGAATGTCGTCTCCTAACTAATGCAATGTTCACTTATGGTCTTAAGATGTTTTTCCTTGGACTGTAATTTGTTGGTCTGGTCTGGTCTTTTTTAGTCTGGTCTGGTCTGTTTTGGTCTGGTCTGGTCTGATTTTTTTTTTGCATAAATATTTTATTTTTTATATATATTATAATCCATAAATAATATAGTAATTATAGTAATGATAGTAATAGTACTAATAATAATAACAACAATAATAATACTAATAGCAATAACAATAATAATAGTAATAATAATAGTAATAATAATAATAATAGTAACAGTAGTAGTAATAATAATAATAATAATAATAATAATAATAAAATAATAATAATAATAACAATAACAAAATATGGGCCTGTCTGGTCTGATCTGGTCTGTTTTAGTCTGGTTTGGTCTGGTCTATTTTGGTCTGGTCTGATCTGAGACGAATTACAGTCCAAGTAAAAACAACCTTAATGGTGACACCTTCTTTCATAAATCATAATCCAAAATATTACCCATAGTTTTTTTCAATTATGAAAAGATGTAGATTATAAAATAAAACTTTTTTAAAAATGAAAATATACTACGTACAAAATAAGGATACTTTTATAAATTGAAAATCTAAGATCTTAACAATTACAAAGGGATAAAAGGTTTGATGAAAATTGTAAAAATTCAAAATAATTACATAAAATGTATAAAAATTACAAATATCGGAAATTATTAATAAAGAAAGAAATAAATAAATTATTTAAATTATTAAAAAATTCACAAAAAAACAAAAAAAAAAGGTAAATTGATTCTTAAAAAACTGAATTCTCAAAAATACCCATGTGAAAAAATTTAAGATAAATGAAATGTAGATAATTTATAGAAACTAAAAAAATATAAAAATTTAAAGAGTGACTTTTTTTATTCTAAAACATTCTAAAAATTCAAAAATAAATATGTAAAATGTGAAATCGTTTATAAAATCCAAATTAAATTTTATAAAATTATATAAAATGGAAAATAAGATTCATAAATTGTAAAGTAAATTAAAAGGCGTAAAAAATATAAAAATTAGGAAATAAAATGTAAAATATTAAAAATATGAAAAAAAGATGAAAAACTCTACAACTTTTTTTAATACTTTAAAAATAGTTGTAAATTTGAGTTACTATTATGATCATGAATTTATTGTTTCGTTATGTTTCTTTTTGTTGAAAATTTTGATAATTTTGTTTTCAATTATTTCTTCATGTTTCATGTTACTGTTAACTTTTTATAAACTCAAAATTATCAATTTAGGTGCTTCTATATATAAGTATGTAACATTGTTATTCCAAAGATACATCAAAGATAAATAAGAAACCTAAATAAACAACAAAAAACAAAATAAAAAATAAACAATATGCAAGCAACAATTAACAACACGATGCAACAAAAAGTAACAAAAAGCAACAACTACGGTGCAACAAAAAGCAACAAAAAGAACCTATAAAAGTATTACAAAAATATGCCAAATTCTTAGTAACAAAAAACAAATATTATAAGATGTGTTCAGAAACTCCTAAAATAATAAATACGAATACATATTTCTAGTTTTTTTTGTTTTCAAACAACTATGAAACATAGTACCCTGTGATGATTACAAAGCCAAGGAAAACTTCATTTCATCAAAGGTGTAAATACAGTCTCAACCAAGTCGACCTCACGGGTCATTAAAAGTGATTGCTGGGCTTTGTATCATCTCCCTGCAGAGCAAGCCTCTCAGAAACATCAGCCAGAGATTTCAGATTGCATTTTAGCGGTGCTTCAATAAAGTAGCACATCTGCCACAAATGATTCAATGACAAGTGTGCGTTCCCAATCTTCCATCAATCACCTCTGGATGCACAGATATAACATACGAGTAGTTCCTAACCTTGTCATCTCCCTCAACAATCCTCACACTGTAGATATGCTCATCCTCACACTTGACACCGACTTCTCTAAGACTTCCAGCTTCAAGATTCTCCTGTGATGAGCACCTGCGGATAAAAGGTTTGTATTTATGCGGTTGATCAAACCTTTCTGGAATTGTTAACTAAGCTACTGAACTTGAAGATAAAAGCTACGCAAGTATGGAAAAAGGAGAAGCCGTTTATTCATGAAAAGAGATTACAAGATTCATACGGTTCATACTTAGCAACAAGCTACAAGAAGTATATTTATAGGCTGTAAACATAACAGAATTGTAACAACTATTTTATCTAGAACTTTCCAGATAATTCTTGTTAGCTTTCACACGTGTGCATGGCTTCTTTTGTATCCGTTTTATTTTGTATGTGTGCATGAGAAGTATGTAGCGTATGTTTTGAGTGCCAAGACCCCCCCCTCAAGATGAGAGTACAAGTTTTGTACGTTCATCTTGGTTAATAGAGACTGAAAAAGCCCTCTGCCCAGTGGTTTTGTTAACAAGTCAGCAACTTGGTGTTGACTAGGAACAAAAAGGGTATGGATGATGCCAGATTGGACCCAGTCCCTGATGAAGTGACAATCGATTTCTACGTGTTTTGTGCGTTCATGATGAATGGGGTTGGCTGCAAGGGCAATAGCAGATTTGCTATCACAAAAAATGGTAGCTTTGGAAGTAGGAATGTTGAAGTCTTTGAACAGTTGTAGCAAACCAATGACTTCAGCAGCTGATGCTGCTAGGGCTCTATACTCTGCCTCAGGCCTCAGCTGAACTTCTAGATATTGTATGTTGCTTCTTTGATTTCCATGAAATGAGAGATTCTCCCAAAAACATACAATAGCCTGTGATGAACCTTCTTGTGTCAACACAACTTGCCCAATCTGAATCTGAAAAACCCTTTAACTGTAAATCAGATGATGATGAATACATAAGTCCTTGACCTATAGAACCCTTAAGATAACGCAAAACTCTATGTGCAGCAGATAGATGAGATTTTCCAGGTTTGTGCATGAATTGAGCCAATGTGTTGACTGCAAAACTGATATCAGGTCTGGTGTTTGTCAAGTATAACAACTTTCCCACTAATGATCTGTAAACAGAAGGATCATCTAAGTAATGTTCATCTTGAATACTTAAGCGAAGCTTGCTATCCATTGGAAAGGAAACTGGTTTACAATCTTGATAACCATATTGAGTTAATAAATCCATGGTGTATTTTCTTTGACAAAGGTACAGACCTTTAGAAGAACGAGCCACTTCCAATCCTAGAAAGAATTTAACAGGACCCAAATACTTGATTTTAAAATGATCATTCAGAAATTTCTTGATGTGTCTGATTTGGTGTATGTCTGAACAAGCCACAAGTATGTCATCAACATACACTAAAAGGATTATGGTAAGATCATCCTTATGAAGTGTGAATAGAGAGTGATCCATACGTGATTGAATGAACCCATATTCCTTCAAGGCACTCGATAATTTGGAAAACCACTGTCTGCTAGCCTGCTTGAGGCCATACAGACTTTTCATTAAACGACAAACTTTATTCTTCTCCTTTTGTTCAAATCCTGGAGGTATTTGCATGTAGACTTCTTCATGAAGATCACCATGAAGAAATGCATTATGCACGTCCAATTGCTCTAAGAACCAACCTTTGGAAGCTACAAGAGCCAATAAAAGTCTAACTGTGTTAAACTTGGCAACTGGAGAAAAAGTATCAAGGAAGTCTAAGCCTTCAATCTGTGTGAATCCTTTGGCAACAAGTCTAGCTTTGTATCTCTCTATAGTTCCATCAGCATGATACTTAACCTTGTAAACCCATTTGCATTTAATAGGAATTTTACCTGGAGGCAAGTCAGTGATAAACCAAGTTCTATTTGACTCAAGGGCATATATTTCATCTTTCATAGCTTGTACCCAGTTGGGATTAGAAGCTTCTTGAGAATAAGTGGTTGGTTCAGTGACATGGGTTATAGAATTACAGAAGATTTGATGGGATGAAGAGAAATTAGCATAGCTGATATACTGATGCATGGGATGTAAAATCTTACCAGATTTGGAGTTTGTGGATGTAGCATCTGCTGAATGGACTTGAGTCAAAGTACATACATAGTCCTGTAGGTGGGAAGGAAGCTTTCTTGGCCTTGTGGATCTGGATAATGGTAATGGATCTTGGTTAAGTGAAGAAGAGTCACTAATGTTGGTGTTGTTTTGTGGAAGTGATGAATCAACAAGGATGGGAGTGTGTTCAGGAGCATTGTTTTCTTGAGTAGGAGTGTTAAAGATGGAGTCATTAGAAGATGAATCATGATTTGTGAAAGGAAAGACTGACTCATGAAAATTAACATCCCGGGATATGAATGTTTGATATGTGTCAAGATCATACAGTTTATAACCTTTAGTATGAGCAGGATAACCAAGAAAGATACACCTCCTAGCTCTTGGTTGAAATTTATGCTTATGACCAATGAGATTGGAGGCAAAACATAAGCAACCAAATGATCTGGGTAATGAATAGTCAGGTGGGTGATTATGAAAGACTTCAAAAGGTGATTTGTTATCTAGAACCAAAAGTAGGTAATCTATTGACAATGTGAACGGGTGTGAGAATACAATCACCCCAAAAAGATAAAGGCAGTTTAGCTTGAAATCTTAATGCCCTGGCAACATTAAGTAAGGTTTGATGCTTTCGTTCAGTGACTCCATTTTGTTGTGGAGTATATGGGCAGGTGGTTTGGTGTATGATTCCTTCAGCAGAATAGAATTCTGGGAGATGGAACTCAGTTCCATTATCAGTTCTTATGACTTTGATTTTGATTGAATGTCGAGTTAAAATGAGCTTATGGAAGTTTGTGAGATGTTGTTTAGTTTCAGATTTATGTTTCATCAAACAACACCAAACAACCCTAGAGAAATCATCTACAATGGTAAGAAAGTATGAAAAACCATCATAGGTAGGAACAGAGAATGGACCCCAAACATCACAGTGTATTAGATCAAAAGGTTTGACAGATTTAATACTACTTCTAGGAAAAGATGATCTATGCTGTTTTGCTAAGGGGCAGATATTACAACCCTTATTATCAAGAACAGAAATTTGTAAGACATCCTTTATTGTTTGAAGTTTGAAATCAGAAACATGCCTCAGTCTTTGGTGCCAAATGCTGGAAGCAACACTATGAGAAACATGTGAGAAAGAGTTGTCAGAAATGTATTTTTCTGGATGGAGTATGTATAGTCCTTTGATCAATTCAACAGTGCCAATCCTCTCCTTCGAATTTTTGTCCTGTAAGATACACTCATTTGAACAAAAAGAGAGAATTAAAGAAGTTCCAGACATCAGCTTACTGACAGACAAAAGATTTACACTGAAATTAGGAACATATAACACTTTGGTTAGAGTAACACTAGGAAAGATATCAACATTTCCAATATGAGAAACTGAGACTTTGGTTCCAGTTGGTAGATGGACAAACAGGTTATTCACAGGTGTTGGTGAATTAAGAAGAGAAAAATCACTGACCATGTGGTCAGTAGCCCCAGTGTCAAGAATCCAGGAAGAACAAGTTGATGAAAAGACATTAGCACTTATTGTAGTGCAAAAACTGAGGTGATTACCTAAATGAGATGTTGTTGCAGGAATGAGAGAAGTGTTTTGGGAACTGGTGAGATTGTGGATCAAGCTTAAAAGATGATGATATTGATCCTGAGTCACTACAGAACTTGTTTATCACTTGTCACCTGAGGTATGTTTTCCACTTGAACTGCATGAGCACTAACTTGATTTCCTCTTCTTGTATTTCCATTTGTCATAGTCTGTTTCGCTTTTGGTTTATAGCCTGGTGGATAACCATGTAACCTATAGCATTTGTCCACAGTATGATTGGTATACCCACAATGAGTGCAAACAACCTTGTTTTCTTTCCTTGTGTTTTGCTGGTAGGGTTTAAAAACTTTGTTATGTGTACTGAAGTTGGTTGAATGATTAGATGCACTTTGTTCAGTCAAGTTCGTTTTGCTCATCATCACCATGGATTCCATATTCATATTCAGGTTATTTCCCATACCTCTCTGCATTTCTTCTTGCAGAACAAAGCTAAAAATTTGATTTAGAGTAGGAAAAGGTTTGATAACAAGAATCTGTCCTCTTATCCCAGCAAAAATTTCATTAAGGCTCATTAGGAACTTGACTGATTTGCTTCTCTCATCTCGTTCAAGCATTGTTTTCACAAAATCACACTTGCAAGTCTTAACAGCACCACAATTACAACTAATGACAGGATTGTATTGGTTTAATTCCTTCCAAAGTGAATCCAGTTTATTATAATATTCTGTAACACTAAGGTTACCTTGAGTCATAGCATAAATCTGCTGTTGTAGGTCAAAAATTCTTGGCAGATTGCCCTGATAGAAACGTTCCTTTAGGATGAACCACATCTGTGCAGCTGAATCTTCATACAAGATAGTGTGTGCTACTTCTTTTGTGCAAGAATTGAGAATCCAAGATTGCGCCATTAAATCGCATCTCAGCCATGCTTCGTAGTCATCATCATCAACATCTGGTTTTTTAATGTCCCCGTTCAGAATTTTCATCTTGTTCTTTGCTCCCAATGCTATCTTCATTGATTTGCTCCATGAATGGTAATTGTTACCATTCAGCTGCGGATTAACTGGTACAGTATTCGGATTATCTCCTGATCCTATGTAATAAGGACTTGAGATATCCTCCATGGCCGGACGCTTTCCTTTGAATGATCCAGTAACAGAGTCTTCACTCTGAGGCATGATTGATTCACGTTCTTAGCAGAAATCTTGCTCTGATACCATCTGGAATTGTTAACTAAGCTACTGAACTTGAAGATAAAAGCTACGCAAGTATGGAAAGAGGAGAAGCCGTTTATTAATGAAAAGAGATTACAAGATTCATACATTTCATACTTAGCAACAAGCTACAAGAACTATATTTATAGGCTGTAAACATAACAGAATTGTAACAACTATTTTATCTAGAACTTTCCAGATAATTCTTGTTAGCTTTCACACGTGTGCATGGCTTCTTTTGTATCCGTTTTATTTTGTATGTGTGCATGAGAAGTATGTAGCGTATGTTTTGAGTGCCAAGAACCTTCTAACCAATGATCAAACAAGAGGAGGAGGCGCTCTATTGTGCTTGGTCTGATAAAAGGTTTGTATTTTTGTATTGATTCTCCGCCGGCTCTTAGCGTGGTGTTTCCTTATGTAGTTATGTACTCTCTTTCATTGTTGCTATATCCGCTCCCATTCATCGTCAGTTCTGCCCATATCTCTCTATGCGATTATATGATTCCTTATATTCTCTTTGTTGATACAATCCCCTCCGGTCACTGTAGAAATCTTACCATCACCGGAGTTAGAAGCGCTCAGATCTTTGAAAACACTGAGATACATCTTTCTAGTTATTGTTATAGGTAACAGAGACATTACTTCTACAATTTGAATGTCTCTCATTTAACTTTAGTGGGAAGGCTTTCAGGTAGTAACTTATTGAGTGCTCGGTACACAGTTTTGACCTGGATCACATGCATAGCTTCCTGCCAATTCAATTTTGTTAATGAAACAATAAAGCTTCAGTCAACATCCATAAAGGCTTCCCCGACTAAAGTATACTCCTCGTACGTATTCAAATTTATTTAAACCCAAAAGTAGAATGAATTTATCAAATTAGATGCATAGAATTTATAATTTCACCTAACACGCAATAAAATCAGAGAAAATAATGTAATTTCAAAGCCCTGATATGAAATCACAAGTCGTGACATACTCATCGGACAAAACTACATATCCCATGTTACCAAATCTAAAATCGAAGGAATAACAATGAGAACTAAAATGAAAATCATACCAAGATGAGATCAAGGCATCAAGCACGGTTCCTAGGGTCAATTTTGACGAGTTCAGTATTGAAAGGCCTGAAGTCATCCTCACAGAGGTTGTCCCATGATTGAGCAGCCTTGACATGACATGATGCTTGCAATAATGAATGAACTTAGCTAAAACTTTTGAGTCACGTACAGGAAAGCATCACGAAGACGAAGGCATCCCGGGAATCGAGTGGAGCTGAAACGAGCTGATTCCGAATTTCGATAACCTAAATCTGAAACTTCCAGGATCTAGAAAGGTATCTGTGAGTGCCAACAACTACGGCAACAGCGGTTCCAGTGATGAGGACCTGAATAAACCATGATTTCATAGATGTCGAAACGATGATGAATTGCACGTCTAGATTCTCACCGCCCTACCTCCTCCGCCTCCTCCGACATAGAATCAAGCTCGTCGGCTATTCTCTTTCATGGAAGAATGGATGATCTCTCAATTTCCCCCATTTTTTGTCACAGTAGATTCATCGTCAAAGTTCTGAGACAATGGTTTTAAAATTGAACTTTGGATTAGTTTTGAAATAGAATAAACAAAAGTGAAAACGCTTATGGTTAGAAATGAAAGAAAAATTATTCGGGGCTATAAATGAAATACACCAGGGAAAAGTAGCTCAAACAGGTAATTTCCACTTTTTTTATTAGTATAGATATTGCTTTAATTATGAGAGATTTACCTGAATAGGACTAAAACTAGGTAGAATTGAAAAAACAGGACTGCTATGTTTTATTTGAAAAAAATAGGACTAAAAAGAAGTAATCTACCAAAATTACCCTTAATTAAAGCATACTGCTATGTTGCGCTACTATTGCGATGCACATTAGCGATGCACAACGGCCTCCATTGTTGTTGTTGCTTCTAGCAGTGCTGCCACAGTCCATCAATAGAACCATCGCCGCCGTCCAATCAGACCAGAATGTCCGTCTGCCACCCTCCGGCGAGACACCAACCACCATCAATCATTAGTGCAGGACCTCTTCCTGCAGCAAAATCACAAAATAGGACCATAGCTTAAAAACTTATTAGGTAGGTAATCTCTTCTTCTTCTTCCTAGTTCTCTGCTTTTTTTTTTAATTTTTTATCAATCAGATTTTAAATAAAATTTTGATTTTTGAAAGTTTCAAATGAAGATATACCTGAACTTGAATTTCTTGTTATCAATTACAGAAAATGACACTTTTGAATAAGAGAATGTCATAATTATTGCGTATTTTTACAAAATGACACTTTTATGTCATTACAATATTTGAAAATGCCATATTGAGAATGTCACGTTTCTATACAAAATTGTCATTATTTTGTTATCATGCATATTAAGTGGCATCCTTAAAACATGTCATTTTTTGAAAAATGAAATCTTGTGTAGCCTGATGATAAAATAATGTTGGCATTTTGGAATAGAAAGATGACATTTACAGTTATTAAAACATGTCATTTTCGAGTATAGATGACATTTTCGGATTACAGTGTCTAAAATAATTTGAAATTTAAAAGAAGAACAAAACAAAGGGGAAGAAGAAAAGGAGAAGGAGGAGAAGAAGAAAAAGAAGAAGATGCGGAGGAAGAATACCTGGGGAAGATATTACAGCTGCGATGATGGCGGTTGAGCTGCATCCATGGAAGCTGGGAAAGAAATTACAGATGCGATGATGGCGGTTGGGTTGCGTCCATGGCAGCTGAGTCGCAATCGATGTAATCGCAGGCAACTGCTTCATTGCAATCGCAGGTGCGATCGAAGCAGAGGTGTGATCGATGCAGAGGGATTTGGGAAAAGGTGATTTAGGGATCGGAGGCATTCAGGGGTAAAAATGTAATCTAGAGTCTCATTTAGGCAATTTAAAACTGCAAGTCCTATTTTGGAGTTTTAAGCATGTTTTAGTCTCATTTAAGGGGTGTTTGGATTTGATTCTTAAAATTGCTTCTGCTTCTTTAGGGAGCAGAAGCAGAAGTTGGAATGTTTGGGTAAAAGTGCAGAAGTGATTCTGTTGCTCTAATTTACTCCTAGAATCAGATTTTTTAGAAGCTGGGGGTGACCAGCTTCTGAAAACTGATTCTGCTTCTGCTTTAAAAAAGAAGCAGAATCAGAATCAGTTCCAAATACCTCCTTAGAACAATTTCTTTTTAATTATTAGCCCATCCCAAAATCAATGTCCAGCCCACCCAGTCCAAACCTACCAGTACCTCACATGCGGCCTTATGCGGATTGGCCCGAACTGCGTGCGATTTGCGAAGAACGAAGGTTGAAGTGGCGAAGCCAGTTGTGAGCTGCGACGAAGACCCGAACACCAGGCACCAGCCGACCTGCGGCCAGATGCCGCGCCGCCGTCCACGCGTCCAGAGTCTTGCGCCCCTGCGTTGTCCGTCTTCCCTCTCCGGCTCTGAGCCCTCCTCTCCGAATCGGCGAATCTGATTCTACGGTTCTGCCTCTAGCTCCAGCCTCTAGGTGACCACGTATTATTAGTTTATTACTCTTTTAGACTTTTAAGTTTTAATTTATTGTTTTGTGACTTTGGGTTGTTTATTGTGTACTATTCACACACTTTACTTTGACTATACCTTACTTTTACTATGATTTTCTAATAATATACTCCCTCCTTCCCATGTTACTTAGCCAAACTTAACTTTTCAAAGTCAATGTCGTCTAAATTTAACCAATTATACTTTTATATAGATAAAGTATTAATAATATGAAAATGATATGAAAATGTTCTTTATTAAAAATACTATCATAAAAGTATAAAATTATTAAATTTTGCATAAATATACTCCGTATTAGTTTAAATAATTGGTAAAAGTTTACCACCTTTGACTGGAAAAGTCAAAGATGGCTAAGTAAATTGGGACGGAGGTAGTATATAATAAAAATATTATGTATAAAATATTAATAAATTTGTATTAGTGTAAATTTCCAATATATTAACTTTTTTTAATGTTTACTAATACGTAAATAAATATAATTACAGTCAAAGTTGCGCGTTGGCAAACGTGAAAGTCAAACTGTTGCAACTTTTATGGAACGGAGGATAGTATTATTATTTTTAGGTTTGTAAATATATTTAATTATTAATTGAATTTTACAGTACATAATAAAATAGTGCTTATCATTATAAATTTATAATGATTAAAGATTGCCTTAAAGATTAGAGAATGATTAAAGTACTCCTCATTCCTGGATCCACATTCAGTCTGAATGTGTTGATGGCCATACTATTTTTGCTCATAGGCGTAAAAGTTTCGAATTTTGATTCGTTGGATACCGATAGTGGATCTTTTTCTAGAATCTCTGAAAAGGTTTAAGAAAAACACGGAAATATTTTCAGAAAATACCGGATACAAATGTTATGTGTATAGATACAATATTTAAGAACATACTACGTATATGCTACGTATAAATGAGTTGTGTGGCTTTTAGTGACTAAAAGTTGTGGACAAAAATGTGATTTGGGAACTTTTAGTGATTATAATTATAATCAAAGTTACTACTACGTATGATTTAGTTACTATGATAAATACAATTATAGTCACTAAAAGTTACTTAGTAACATTTTTGTCAGTGCCTTTTTTATTAGTAATATTTTAGGAAAACCTCTAAATTTATATCTCACATTGCTTGAACTTTCATTGAGTGTCCTGTCCACTCCTATGCAAAAGAAAGACAATTCTATTCAATCAAGAGCTTTTGATGTTTAGAATAGAATGGACTGTTAGATGTTTACAATTCGGCAACATATATTCATGAATTTTGTGATCATTAATAAGTAGCAAAATACAAAGGAGATGATGTAAAATGAAAGTGCATTGACTTTGTTGAAAAATGGTAGACAAATGCTGCATTTGACCAACTATTCTACGAGTGTGTTTGGCAATCAGTTGTTGGCGGTTAGCTTATACTCCGTAGTTGATAATATTGGATGTTCGACATTTTGAGGACACTGGGATTTTGCCTGATTCTATCACATTATTAGTTTTTTCCATAGCTGGTTAATCATCGGCTCTTTTCCCTTTCTTTGATTGACTTCTCCTTTAGTGCAAGCTTAATTTGTTCTTCTAAGGTATGGACTTTTCCATTATTGAAGAGCATAAATAATTAGATTATTTGATGAATTTGTTGGTTTCTCCTTAGCTTGACGAATTTGCTGGTTTCTCATTCATTTGAATGATTTGATGGATATTATTTTGCTTGATGCTTTTTATCATAAGAGAAATCCTCTTTGGTTGAAAACTGGAAAATATATTTATAGTCTACTGAAGTTTTACGATATGATGTATTAACAAAAGATTATAGATGGGGAAATATATAGAGATCTGTTTGTTTCATGTTGATTCACATTATTGAGTTTCCCTTTTCAAAAATTTAATTTATACAAGCATAGCAACTGTAAGCACATGTAAAACCAATTACAAAATCTAGAGAACAGTATAAGCATCAACGTGGAAAAAAATCAATTCATAAAAAATCCAAAACATTTTGCAAATGTTTAGGTCTTATTAAAAACTACTATATTCTTAGTTTCTAGCTGCAAGGCTGATGGTTCAATTCGATTGAATGATTGAATCCAAAATTTCCAGAACTAAGCTTGAATTAGACTAGTATAAATCAACTTTTGATTGAAGCAACTTCAGTTTAACGTCCACTCTTTCTGCTCTTCCATTGCCGGCTGCCCTTCAACACCGTCACAGGCAGCAGACTCGGCACCCCCTGTGTGCCAGTAAAGTATCTCATGTATTCTATTAGTTACTTAGTTATTGTTATAATTTTGAAAATATGCTCTGGATTTTCTTGTAAATTGTCCTTTAATCGAGATACTTTGTGTGTAATAAGAATGTGAAATTGACCATTAGCTTCGATCTTCTCTCACAGTCTTTCCAAGTACCCAATCCAATTTTCTTCTCAACGGGCTTCATAGCTTTTCCAATTTCAGCTTTCTAATGCACTTTTCATGCCATTTTAGGGTTCCTTTTCGTTGATAATCTAGTGTTGAAAGGAACTTGCGAGTTGCAACTATGTTGTATGATAAAATTCCTCAAAGAATTCTGCAAGTTTTGACTATAGTTTCTTAAGTTGTGAGGCTAGGTTATGTCCAGTTTATTCTGCCATATGAGCTTTTTAGGTGCTTTTTTCAGCTCATTTCATTAACCGGGAGACTGGTGTGGTTTTTGTGTTTTGTCACACATTCGAAGTCCCAGGCGTGTATGCCTACTATATGTACATATAGCAAATGGTGTTCTTGTACTCCATATAACTTATTTATTGTAGTGTATTGTATTTGGTATATTCGGCTACTGAAGTTTTTTGTTACAACCGAGTTGGCTCCTGGTCTCGCTAGGTGCTAGGCGGTGCATAAATGTATTGCCGCCTGACTACTGCTTAGAGAGTTTTAGAACATTGATTATGAGTAATAGTCATTCAGCCGTTCATATTTAATATCTTGTCTTGTTTCCCCATATCAGCAGAAGCTATCTGATCAGCCCAAACCTTTCACCTTTCCAGCTCATTTCCCCCCTCCCAGGCTCCCACTACTCTGTTGTTATAGATAGATAGATTTTATTGCTAGTTTATGCCTACCTAGCATTCTTTAATGGTATGCTAGTTTTACCTTCTAAGCTGTTTATCTTAGTAGTGGTTCCATGTCGACGTGCCGTATGGTGTTATACTACCACTGTTATGTGCAGTATTTAGAAAGCATATCATGCTTTTCTTTGATCATGATTTCTGAATGTTTCTTTCTGGAATGTGACTAGTTGCTCGCTCATGAGATTTGCATTGCTATAATTTGTTCTAAACTTCTAATTTATCTGTCAACATGCAAACAAGTTCTATGCATTTGCTGTTTTATTCTTAGAGTAGTTTCTTTAGTCATTACTCACTAAGTTTATTCATGGTGCTTGGCCTTGTTTATCAATAGCTATTTCTCACTTTAGATTATATTTAACAATTGAGGTATGTGTTAAACTAGTGCTCTTCTTGAATAGACATAATAGTTTATGGGTATGCTTTATGTACAAGTTGCTTATAATTTTCCCATTCATATGTCCATGTTATATATTCTAGAATTGAAAGAGTATTTCTTTTTTCAGCTTAGTTTGAAAATGGCAGCTTATTTGTGGAGAAAATACGCGGATTACTTGTACACAAAATGGGAAAGGACAATTCTGTGGGACATGGTAGAGCCATACAGAAGACCAAAGACATTTACTCCGCTTGTAACCGTTTACATTTGTGCCTTTTATACCGGTGTCATTGGTGCAGCCATCACTGAACAACTCTACAAGGTGCATATTTTCTTGGGAGCGTAATTTGTTGCACCTTGTCACCTTCATTTTGAAAGAACTCATAAAAATATTATCTTCGTCTCTCATCCAAGAAGGTTATTTAATGTTATTTGTGGGATTATGATCAGGAGAAATACTGGGAGGATCATCCTGGAGAATCAGTACCTTTGATGAAACCAATTTTTTATGGTGGGCCTTGGAGAGTAATGAGAGGGGACGTTCCTCCAACTGGAAAATTTGAGTTTTGAAACGGCTGTTGATACTTTAGACCCCCGCATAGGCCCCTCCCTGTGTCCATTTTGTTCCAAGTTCCAAACATTTGTGCATAATATATGTGCCTTCTCATCTTTGCAAGTTCCAGACTTTTTTGCTTCTCCCTTGACTTTCCCAAATACGGAGTATCTATTTTCATGGATTGTGGAGCATGTTAGCTGGTTTTATACATGATAGTATATACTCTAGAGAAGTACTTGTATTCAATTATAGAAAGAGAATTGATGGAACTATGGAAGCATGGGGCTCCCTTGGCGACTTTTGTTTTGATTCAAATCGGGGGATAAAAAATCCATTTCTGGTGCCTTTTAAGATTATGATTTTGTTGGTATGACAAGTTTCTCTGGTTTCTCCTTTTGTAGTTTTGGCTTTATTTTGTTACAGTGTGAAGATTGAATTAATGTTGCCTTTGTTCTTTCTATGTGGCTTGCTATTTGTTTTTGTTATGCTCATTTTGGGGTGAATGTCTCGGGTTGACAACATTGATGTTCATCGGGTTGTCACTTATGTAATTGGAATTTTGGAATGGTGTTATCGCATCAATTAAAGCTATTAACATTAAATTGATAGATTTGTTAATGCATCTGATTAAGTATCTCATAAAATAATGAAGATGAAAAAATTAACAATTTTTTACTATTAAGCTAGGCTGCTAGTGAGGTTACAAGCTCACATGACAATTGACAACTATGTAACATGTTTTTCAACTTCTTCCTTTAACTACATATATATAAGTTATACAAGTCCTTTCTTTTGTATCCAAAGCAAGATAGATTTCGAATTATATGGATGGTTTATATTCTTGTGGAGTCCATTTCACTATCTTTAGACGGTTGATAATAGAAATATTGCCCTAAAAGGGACTAAATTCTTCCTGAAACTTTTAAATAGGACTAATCATATTTTTTGCCCTAAATAGGATTGGATTACCCATTTACCCTTATTATTTCCCTTTCCCCTCTTCCTCACCGTTTCTTTTTCTCCCCTGCGCAACCTTGCGCATCTTCTCCCCTTCCCCCCTGTGCATCTCCCCATGCGCAATACACCTTCTTCTCCCTTCCTCTTCGCACTAGAACAACCAAAGCTTCGAGCCCGCCGCCGCTGACGTGAAGTCCTCCGTCACTGCCCAGTCATAGTCATCACTGTCGCCGTCGCCGTCAGAGATCTTCTCTTCTTTGAAGGTAGGTTCTCTCCTTCCTCCCCTCTTCTCTGGTTCTCTCCCTCTTCTATTTCGTTGCAGATGCTCGATTTCTTCTTTGATTGGTAAAAAAACCAAGTTCAACACTGAAAATGCCATCAAAATGTCATTCTTATTTTACAAAAAAATTGTATTTTCCTTTGAAAATGCCATTACAATGACATCCCTGATTCATCTTTTCGTTGCAGGACCAAATCTCTGTTTCATATTTGGGGTTGTTAAAAAATTACATATCTCGTTTGAAAATGTCATAAAAATGGCATTCATTCTCCGAACACCGCCGTTTGGGGTGGTTCCCGGTGGAATTTTTCGATGAAATCTTTATGGTATGTTATGCATCAAGTCTAGTTTATTCACAAAAAAAATCAGCTCAAAACTCGATCCGAAAAGCCGTCAAATAATTTTTGGAAGTTGATTGCGTTTTTCTATCTGATAGTGGAGTTTGACTAGTTATTCAAACCCCCAACAGGCCTACCCCTCATCGTGACATTGACCATCGGATAACACTCGAAGAGGGAACTGATCCAATCATTGTACGGCCATATCGCTATGCCTACTTTCAGAAGGCAGAGCTCCAGAAACCATGCTCCAATCTGTAATCATTCGCCCAAGCTCAAGCCCTTTCTCATCACCCGTCCTTCAGGTCAAAAAGAAAGACGGGTCTTAGTGTTTTTGTACAGATTATCGCGCCCTCAATGCCGCTACTATCAAGGACAGATTCCCAATTACACGGAGCAGCATATTTCACCAAGCTCGACCTTACTGCATGATATCATCAGGTGCACATGCATCCGGCCGACATCGCCAAAAAGACATTTCGGACGCATAATGGGCACTATGAGTATTTGGTCATGCCGTTCGGGCTTTGCAATGCCTCATTACTGCTTTGAGTAAGTACTAGTATCGCACCCGTGCGATGCATGGGGGTGAGTATTTTAAAAAAGTATATTTGAGTGTATGTATAAGAATGCTAAAAGTGTCTTGATTTTGTTGGATGAGTATCACTACCGTTAGACATTAAAGTGTTATTGGAAACAAAGTTAAATATCATAAATTGTGACGATTAAGAAATGAAATTGTAATACGTAAGTTTATTGTAATATGTAATGTGATTTTAATACAATATGAAACATTAGAAATTATGGAACACTTCTTGGTTTATTTATAGACAACATTCGTGATTTTATATGCTTTTTTTGAACTTTTAATTTTTCTTCATATATCACTATATGATACTCCCTCCGTCCCAATTTGATAGTCTCATTTCTTTTGGACATAAGTTTTAATAAAGTGGTTGAAAAGATAAAAGTTGTGTTTGAGATTTGAATATAATAAAGTGAAATGATATGGATCACATCTTTCTTTTCAAAAAGGGAAACATGACCATCATTTTGGGACATCCCAAAAAGGAAATACAGAACCATCATTTTGGGACGGAGAGAATAGTAATTATTAATATAAATCTAAAACGATTTTTCACACTTACGCTTTGTCTATTCCGTCTAGATTTTGAAGGTTTGAGGCTTGGTCTTGATGCCTTGTCACACCTCATATCTTTTAGAAAACCAAGTATATGTCGACGTCTATCCTAATGTACTTTTTCTATGAGAGTGTAAATTGAGTCATATAATCATTTTTGATGTACATTACCCCAAAGTCTTTGATTAAAAATTAATTACCTGGAAGTTTTAAATTTTTAATAATGAAATTTACTCACACATTTCTCTGCCATTAAGATACTACGTACGGAGCAATAAGCATACATTGAATTATGATACTCCCTCCGTCCCATATTTATCTTCGTAGTTCGGTTTACGATGCTTGACTGACGATAAAGCAACTTGATCCCTGTTCACACTCAGATTATTTTTAGTAAATTAAATTTACATATTCAGAAACTACATTAAATCCGCTACAAAGTCTGATCCAGAAAATTTAAGTTTGATAAAAATTTGATATATAAAGTAAAAGATTAAGAGTAATTTGAGTTGACCGTGTGAATAGTAACTATGAAGATAAATTTGGGACGGAGGGAGTACAATTTTTTGTACAACACAAAGTGAACTCTCTAAATTAGTAATATGGCTCACACTTCCATTTACAGATAATGTGGTTTATTTGATTAATAAATATCTTATGCTTTGTCTGTCGGGTTCGTGATTACACTAATACTTATCTTTGAAAATTTGGCTATTAGAATCCTAAAATCTCAAAACAACTTTAATTAGATATACTTAGTGAATTTTTATACATGCTATTATATGCCCTAACTATTTTCAATGTACTAATTTTGTATTGATTAACTTTATACTCCTTTCGTTCTTTTTTAGTTGCAACGGTCAACATTTCACATTTGCCAACGCACGTCTTTAACCGTAATTATATCTTAATTTTATTAGTAAAAAATATTAAAAATCAGATTTTGAAATTTGTAATGAGATGAATTGAACAATATTTTTTTAAAAAAATAATTTTCATAAAATAATAGTGTAAAATGTAGTCAAAGTAGAATATGTGAATAGTGTAAAATTCAACATGTTGCGATTAAAACAGGACGGGGGGTAGTATTATTCAATACCTATATTTTAGTAACATTTAAAAATTCTTGTTTCGTATTTGAATTCGGCATTGTGAAAAAAATGCAGACTATTTTACCAATTTTATTCATATTTAGTGCACGTTTGGTAACACTAAAATTGGCTAAATGGACTTATTTTGCTGTAATTTATGACGTTCCTGCTGAAACGGCTGAGTTGGCTGAATCTACTGATTTATGAAAAAATTATATTTAAAAAATACTTTATTAATAAAATAAAAAATTATATGAAAAATAGCTAAGTAGTCATATTCATTAATTTCAACCAATTTAGTCAGAAAAAGTCCAAACTTACTTATTTTGACTATTATGCAATTTACTATGTGAAATAAAAAATTATGTTCTTGTTGATAAAGTTACGTTTATGATGTTTTTATTTGGACTTTTTTCAGTTAGAGACCAAATCAGACCACATCATACCAGACTTGCATAATTAAAAAATACACAAAGATCAGACATTTATCAAACCAGATCAATTCAGATCTAAAAATTTTAGGCTAATTAAAAACATCCCAATTGAATCACTAAATTTATTAGTAACATTATATGAACTTGGGCATCTCATCAGCCCTTTAAATTTTGGAAACACACAATTTTAATCTGTTAAAAAGGAACCAAGCCCAGCCCATAGAACTGAAAACAAAACACAAAAATTAAAGAGGACCCGCCAGCTACCTGGGCCAAGATCGGCCCATCTAAGCAGCCGTATGCATCCAGTTAAAAGTTTGGGCATATTTGGTCGCCCTAGATTCTCGATTCTTCGTCTTTAGAGAGAGAGATAGCCATTTGACTGGTCGTTGCAGTGGAGCGGTTTCCATGCTCATCCCTTATCTGGCGTCCCTGAAGATGGAGCCCTTGAGACCAAGATAGTAGGCGATTTTGGCGTTGGAGGGGAGATCGTCGACTGAGTATTGGGTGATGTGGTTCAGACAGAGTCCTATTTGTGCGAGATGGTGTGCGACTTGTTTCGCCTCGCGTGGTCAAAACCAAAAGGAGATTCCGCTTTTAGTCTGTGATGTTTGAGCCTGTTTATCTTCGGAGAGAGGTATCCCGGAGTGTTTATTTTCCCATCTAGCATTTTCGTTGTTGTTTTGTTGTCTGTTTGCAATTGGAAGTCTTTGTAACTTGCATGTATCATGTATGTTGCCAAGATTTTTGTCATCGTTGTATCATGCTTGGAAGGGGTTGAGAGTTCGGGTTGGGAAGGAGATGAAAAGCTGGAAGGACGCAGTACAAACATGAAGTATTGCACCTTATGTGCTTCTGCTCTTGCTTTGTGTTGTGTTTGTCTTGAGACAGAGGGTTTGTGGTGAGTGACTTTGCCATTTGATGATCTTTCGATATTTCTTTTACCTATATTTATGATATGAGTCCGCCACAACGTAGATCTGCGTCATAATTGATGAATTTCTTTGATCAAGTTATAGTTATATACATATCTATTCTAAAACCGTTAGAGCAATTATTGATTTCATTTTATTCTTGTTTGATGATATCGAGCTAGAACCTTCTTACTCGTGTATACCTTGATGGCAATCCAAGTAAAGTTTTAGAAAATTCCTAGTAAATCTGTTTAGCGTTCTTACACATCTACATTATACTATGTAGAACAAAGATATATATATATATATATATATATATATATATATATATATATATATATATATATATATATATATATATATATATATATAGGGGATGGTTCGTGTGAGAATGATGTCCCAGGAGAGAAATGAGAACAAAATATAACCATTGATATGATTGATCTAA